AATGAGAAAGTGAGGTGAAACGAGCCGCCCCGGCTATTCCGGGCTCCACGGTGCTAAACGTGGAAGCTCTGCAGAGAGATGGGTGAGCCAATTCATTAGGCTTGCTAAATAAGCCATAACCACTTCGCCAGCCAAGACCTGAGGTTTGCAGCTAATAGCTCGGTTCAGTCTCCTTGTAGAGCTTGCAGTGTTTGCAAAGCTATAATTAATGCAATCTGTAGAAATAAAAACATTTTCCTTAAATGTGTTTTTAAACAAGTGCTTGAGTAAACATAACGGGCAGCGAGTACCCCTTTCAAGCTGTTTTTAAGTGTTTTGGTGAGGGCTGTGCCCTTTAGAGTTTATTATGCTAGAGTTGCAGGCAGTTGCAAAGTGAAATAGACCCTATTTTTGTCGCAGTCTTTCAGAATATTTCTGTAAAATACTGAAGAGTTGTTTTTTTTTCCTTTTTTTTTTCTTTTCTTTTTGAGTAAGGGGGGATAGGGACAGCTCAAGGAGAAATGGGGCGGGGGGGGGGACGGCTGAGCTGTTCATACCTGAAATTCTTCAGAAAAAGTTTTGCCTTCTTGTCTAGTTTTTTTTTTTTTTTTTGGAAATGATTTGTAGATTAGAAGCTGCTAATTGAAAACCTAAAAGGAATGAGTCTGCTCCATGAATTTTACAGCATGTGGCATTTGAAAGTGTGGGACAGATAAAGTCAAGTGATTCACATCTTTTACTTTTTAAGAACCTCATTTGAAGCAGCCTTAGACTGTCAGGTGATATACGCTATTCCAGTTAATGGGCTAACATTGCAATTTAATGCTAAGTTCATTTCACAAATGTGTAAACAGAATTTACATGAGATTACATGTTATATTCTTTCTTCTGTACATAAAGAAGTTCTAAATATTAGCATGGAAGTAAACTGGAAATGCTACCAAAACTATATTTGTCCAAATGTATAATAAGAGTAATTGTGACTGTTATATCATCTTTAAATGATCCATGACTCAAATGACACCAAAGCCTTTTAACAGATGTATATAAATCACTGCTGAATGTAACTGTCATTCAGTGAGAGGTTGTCTGCCTCATGAAAGGGAAGAAAAATCTGGCCAAGGGCACTTTGGCAAACTCTTTAAAAATTAAATGTCATAGACTCATGCAGATGTATTTGACTTTACTGTTAGCTGAGCGATGTCTGAAGTCCCTCTGTTCCCTCTTTCACCCATCCAGGGTGTGTATTTTTCATTTCTGTACCTTATAGTAGTGTGCATCTTTATGAACCATGACCGGATAAGTCAGTCCTGGTGGAATCCCCACCCTCTGCTACCAAAAAGGTAATGGTTTTGGAGACTTTAAGCTTTGGGATTGAATTAAACTTAATGTTTCGGTAGGGGTAGCTAGCCTTGTTAGTAGAGGATCGTAGGTAGTGAGCCCATGCTAGTTTTTCCCCTGCCTCTGCTCTTCTTACCGAGATGGCTAGCCCAGATGAATATTAGACTGCATTAGCAATCCTTCCATAAAATGGGTAACGAACAGACAGACACCCGCAGGAAGAAAACAACACACACACACACACACATACACACACACATACTTTCTGCATCTTCCCACAGGACTAAACTTTGAATGAGGCAGGTTTATTCCTCCTATTTGTGTACTTCCCTATTTAAACAACAACAAAAAAAGCAGTGCTATTACAGCAACAAATACCACAGCACTAAATCACTCTTTACTCCTGCAGTCCTTTTGCTTATAGCTCACAGACTCTATAACCCCTTCCCACATGTACCCATCTCAAATATTCATGGGAATATCTGCATAATTATAAGGAAAAACAAACCAGGCTGTGTAGAAAGGCCACGAAAATGCCTGACTTTTTTCACCTGCTGTGCCGGTGTGTGATGACAGAGAACTACCATTCTTTTCTACACATCAGGTGAAGATTTTCATTTGCGGTTGGAAGAAGAACAAAGACAGACCGATATTTTTGTCAAGAAGCACAGGCCACGGGGACGGAGCATGTTTCACTGTGGACCTGAGTTTTATGAAAACTGTGGGGTGATGACGGGGAGAGTGTGCACATCCCTGCTGGTATCACACTGTCATGGGTATCTGCAGCTTGCCAGGTGGTGGTAACATCAGGGGCACAGTCTCCTTGGCCGCAGTGGTAAATCTGCCATAAGATGAACCTTAGCAATGACACGTTAATAAAATTAAAGTTCCCCCTAGCAAAAGCAACTCTAAAGTTAAGGTCGTTATCCGAAAGATGACTGCATGGATCAGAGTTTTTTTCCTTGCCTGGGTGTTCAGCAGCTCTAGGGTCTAAGCGACAAACTTGGATGATGGCTGGGCAGGGAGGGGGGTATCAGCATCTGTCTTTATGTTTTTCATCTGTCTAAACAGATGAACAGATTTCTGGGTTGTTTTAACTTTATGTCCTCGCTAGCTCCAGAAGCAGAGCAACTATTACTTTCAGAGAAGACTTTCAGTAGTTTACAGAATTGTATCCCTGTTTAATTAGGAATAAGATTTTTGCGTATCTCTTGGGCAGAAATACCCAC